GTCTCGGATAATTTTTAAAGGTAAGTAGAACTTTCATTAGAACTCAATTAAGACGTTGGAAATTAGATTCTGTCAATGAATTTCGGCAAACATGTTAGTCACCAAGCCAAAATTTGGTCACATTTTGCAAAATCCACAAAAATGTCCTTCATTCTAGATGAATTTTGAAACTTATTTGGCTTTTCCTTCCAAACTTATTTGGCTATTCACAAAATTATGGGGATTTTCCTTCCAAAATAATTTTTTGACCCTGTCCTGGAAAAAATTTCTGTAAACATGAAACCTGTCCTAGAATAAAAGCTTTCATTCCCAATTTGAGGATAACGCTAATGACAAATCTGACAATCCTGGAAGAAGTATCTTTGATGAGCATACCTCTGCCAGAAAAAAGAGACAAAAGGTTGACACAGAAAAAGTTACCTTAGGATATAAACAGCCAAGAAGACAAACAGCCAATATCAAAATATAAAATGTTTTAAGATGCAGGACTGGCTGATTATCAACTATAATTCTTCTGCTGTATTAAGTTTTGGTTTGAATTGGACTTCGTCTATTTACAACACTACAAATTTTAAATCACAACACCACAAATCAAATTTACAACACCACAAAACGGTAACAAAGCCACGTTAGAATAACCCCTGTATCCAGGGGCGGATGCAGAAAAAAATCTGACATTCGCAAAGTTTCGACCACGCCTATATGACCACGCCCAGAAAAATCGCTCAAATTTTACTATAGTCTTAGAATCGAAGTTTTCCTTCTACAAGTGAGATTTAATTGAGATATTTGAGAAATCAGTCACTTAAAGATATTTTTTTTTCTCATATTATGTTTTAGGATTAGGAAACTAACAACACTAAATATTAAGAATAACAACCAGGTCTGGGTTTCATTGACAATTTGGCATTTTACTCATTGAGTGAACAAGAAAAGAGATCTCTGGAAAAAATTTGAGAAACACTCATCAAGCTTTTGTTGTGTTGGCATGTTTTGTTTCCTACATGACTTTTGTGGTGGAAAAACAACAGCAAAGATTTGAAATATCCTCTTAATGATGATTTAATGGCAAGTCTAGGCATAGAATCACAAATTGTCAAAAACAAAGAGGATGAGCTAAAATAAGGGTATATTAGGTGTGTATATCACCCCTTCTCAGGGAGAAAAACTCATCAAAAACATTTTATGTCACTCACTTAAAAAACAGCCATTTAAAGAAAGGTATAATAGTTCTATTTATACAATGATATTATTTAGCAATCAAATACTGTGTTTAGTGTAGAAATTTTCAATGCAATATCCACCCAAATGTTTGACTTCAACACCAAATACTTTAGGGACTCAGAGCTTTTCTACTATTTATTTTGTGCATTCGCCTTTCTATCTGAACTGCTGTGTGATGTGCCTTAAAACAGGACCAAAAATACAAATTAGGTCAATACACATCATACAATTTTAGTATTTTCAGGTGTTGGTAAAACAACAAATGTAACAGTTCTAATTCAAAACAATTCATTGTCTTTCCATAACAAGAACGTCATAAATATATTACAAATTTAAAATGTACATCAAACAAAGTCAGCAATGGCAAAGAAATAAGGCAAACATGGTAACTTTTACTATATGGATTTACATAAGATATTTACTTGGCAGGACCAACTTGCTGTGAATTTCTTATTAATAATGTAGTGATTCCCCCATTAGGATCATTCCATTGATTGCATATTTACTACCCATATTTACATTTATTTACACACACAATAACATAGAAAAGAAAACTGTCAGTCACTTGCAAATTCATAAACAAAAATTAATGAATCTTAAGGGTATTTCAGAACCAAAAGTTTCAAATGGTATACTCTTAGTGTGGAAACCACAAATAATTTTACTAGTTTTAGAGATTAAATTTGTGAAAAGGGTTATAATACTTATGGCATGACCAGACAAATAAAATCAAAATACTATTACAATTTCTCATTTACAAATATGGCAGTCTAGATTTTTCCAAAACTGACAGCATAAAATTAACAAGAAAAGAATACGCCGTAGAAAATGCAATATCTTATTCAAAAACAAATCCCCAGCACAGTCAAACTATTTACAGGTTTGTGATAATAACAATATCTATCAATAAAAAATATCTAGAACTCTAAAATTCAGCATATTCAAATTCATCAAGATATTTAAGAAATCCGCTGATTCAAATTAAAAATCATCTTATATTTGACTCCTTTCACTCACTCAGAAGTACAATTGCTGCCCTTCTGCAAGCAAATATCTCCACAGCTTTCCAACAACAATCATGGCCGTTGGTGTGGAAGCGAGGTTTCTATCTGCTCTCTTTCCAAGGTTCTCTCCCTCAACTGGCTACCAAACATAGTTCGCATCTACCTTCGCCACATTCGCAAAAAAAATCCCATATACATTTCCTATTGGTTTTCAGATGGCTAAATAACATAGCTGGACTGACATTCGCACAAATTTTTGGCATACATTTTTCAGTACTACTTCGTTTGCGCACGCATGCCTAATATATTATAATTCCATTCGACATTCGCATCAAACCTTATTGGTGCTCTGTGAATTTATGCGTAAAAGGGGGAGCCCTCTTTCGAATATATCATCTCTAAATCACGAAAACGAGGGAATAAAACCAAAAAAGTAAACAACAAGATGACATCATAGCAACTAGAGCAGGAAACAAAACTTTTATTTCTTGTATTCTATGGACCTTTTTTTATTATCTGGTCATTTCTAGTACAATATTCACAATGCTAAAATGTATTAACAGACAATTGCAAAAAGACATGTGGAAATCTGACATTCGCCAGTGCGAATGTTGCGAATGTCTGGATCCGCCCCTGCCTGTATCGTCCAGTTGGGATTCTCCTTACTCGCCAACAACCTGAAATTAACATATGTGTTGCTTCGCTCCACCAACGAGCTGGTTATACACTGGTTATTCACCGTTCTAAGAAGAACTCTAAACGTTTTGTCATCCAGGGGTGGTAAATTTTATTATCCTCCCTTGAGGCAGCGCAGCGGGGAGACTCTTTGCCTTTATTTATCCCAACATGTTCATGGTGGCATACCGTAAAAACCAGACCTTAAGACCCTAAGACCCAGGACCCTTAAGTACTAATATCAAAAAGGACCCTTAACACCAGAAGGGTCTTCACCTCGATAAGACAATAGTTGATCGCAGTTGACTGTCATCATCGCACCATAAGGACATATCAACCGTCAAATGCGCTTTTGTGCCAGCTACGGCGTTCTTCCGCATATTATCCACATCACCTACAAAATTGCATTTTTTAAAACACTTATCAGAGAAAATGCAACTAGAATGTATTATCAACTAGAAACTGGAAAGGAAACAATGCAACTAGAAAGTTAGGGGTCTGGAACACAGGCTAGGGTGACATTCTTCCGGCCTGAGCCAGCCTCTGGACTATTAAAGCACAGAATAGGAAATAGGAAATACTTTCTTTCTTTTTTAAAATTTCCCCGACAGATGCATGCTAAGCCTTGTATAAGTTAACGCATGCGCTAGTTTTTTCAGGCTTCACCTGATAGGCAGGAGTTCCCCTTCTGCCTAATTCCTATTCTGTGATTACAGTATACATATAAACGTAATCACGTGAGGTTAGTCCCACTTCAAAAGGACGCCCCTGGGTAGACATAGTGGGAAGTGCGTTAAGCAAAAATTATACAAAGAAGGTTTGAGACAACACAACCGACACCAGCAGTGATATATAAAAGGGCGAAGATCGTTATATTTCCGACGACATATGTACCTAAATTGTAAATTGATGCTACGCATGCGTATTTACTTGTTAGTTCCCATTTGCAAGGTATAGGTCGAGTTGCCAACTGTACAACCCATTTTGCTATATCTTAGATGCATGTATATTTTCTCTCAAGGTGTTGCTGCCTTTATGCTGAGGGGACTATTCAAAACAAAAGACAAATAAATATTTCTGCAAGGATTAACTGGCTATTTTCAAACAATGCAACATAAGAATGTCGATTAAAAGCAAAATTGCTAATAATAAAACATATAAAGCTAAGAAGATTATCATCAGCCAGTCGTTGAGAGTCCTAAAATTTTCCGACAAGCATATCACATTTTCCTACAAACAGGCACTGAGAGCGAGCGACACAACAAAATGTTATAGAGCTCCGTACCGGGGGTACTCCCCATTGTATTGCTTTCCAATTAGTATACTTTTAAAAATGAATATACTACAGCTTGACAATTATTAGGGGGCTACAGCCCCCTAGTCCCCTGCTATCGACGGCCCTTGCGGCTACTTCTAACAATGTTTCCCATTTATTTATATGCGATTGTTACACTTTTTGTGTCACGGCACCAGTATGGAAAGTTGGTTTCCTGTGCACCAGATGCCGCAATTTTCCATTGCAGTTGTGCACCAGGTACCCTCATGAGGTATGCACCAATTTTCTCATGCATTAAGTCTAACTTACTGAATAATACGACAATACAATAAAAATTACAACAAAACAGATACATACAATGCAAATCATTTTACAAACTTCCATAATTAGGTCGAATCAGAAGCAAAGTTACAGGCTAATAAAACAAACCAATAAACGATATTAGAAAAAGCGACAACAAGGGCCACAGATAGATTTTTATGGCCCTGGGTGCAAAATGAGTAATTAAAGGAACTGGCTACGTGCAATTTTCAAGAACCATGTCCTTTAGATAGATATAAAATACATTTTAGGATATTTCTTGCAGTTATTTCTTGAAATTGTTTAAAATGTTTAATCATTTTAGGCATACCTTTCTTACGTTTGGTTATTTCCATTCTTCAAATGGATTTCAATACTTGAAGAGACCCTTGTTACCCATCAAGGCACTGAGCTGTGGCAATTTGCCCCTCTCTTGGCAGCCCTGGCACGAGTTAATAAAAATAAGTTATGTGAGAATGGATAGCTTCTCTCCCATCCTTAATCCTTGTGAGGACCCTACTTGCTTAGCAGGTTATATCTGTCCTTTTGTTAAAGTTACATTTCTTTCCATATATGTAAATATTTGCTGTCTGGGAGATAACATTGTTTAATCTTAAAACATTTGATGCTGACCAGTCAAGAATACTGTAAATTCTCGAATTGCCCCCCCCTCCTTGAAAAAGCCCCCCCCCCCCTCGAATATGCTTCCTCCTTAGAACTACAAATTGTCAATAAGCCCCCCCCCCCCTCGAATAGGCCCCCACTGTTACCGTATATTCTCGAATTGGACCCCTTAAATTGATGGTTTTTGCCATCTGAGTTTGCCTATGGCGTTTTATTGAATTACCACGACAAATTCGTACTTTTGGTAGTAATCAATTAAATGCTCATAAAGAAATTTCTACTAAAATAAACAAGTTTTCTAATAATATCTTCTTATTGTCTGCAATAATTTTATAAGCCTCCCCCCCTCGTATAAGCCACCCTCTTGAATAAGCCCCAGTCCGAAAATATCAAAAATAAATAAGCCCCCAGGGGGCTAATTCGAGGATTTACGGTACCCCTGTTCTCTTCGGTGGAATTGTTTACTGCCCTTTAAAGCCCACTTATTTGTTTAGCTGGAATAGGATATTTTATCTATTTCTATCGATCACTTAAGGTCTGAATAATTTGTGTACCAAAGACAAAGAATAACTATTATTGTGCACCAAATTGTGCACCAACAAGATTTGCTGTGAACCATATTATCCGGTCCACAATGCTTTCTTTCCATACTAGTCACGGCACGGTAAGCCATTGCAGTAGCTTCATTTCATTACGGACTGCGTTCACACTGCAGCGAAAAAGCGACGCGAACAGAAGCGAACGGAACAACATGCAGCGAGCGAAATATCGCGAATCAGACAGTTATGCAGGGTGAAGTTTGATACCGGAATGGCTTATTTAAAACGAAAAAGAATGCTTTATCTGAAAGTTTATTTCTTAAATATTCTTTACTTTCCAAACGAAGACTATTCTGGGTTCGCAAAATAAAAAGAGGAACAAACTGATATCATCATAAAAATAGATATTTGCTTTTATCTGGTGAATATCTTTATTTGGTGCCGCAGTTGAGGAATGACAAGGCTATTTTGGATTCAGAATGTATTCATCTATGTTTGACTCGTTATTTCAGTGTCGTTGGAAATAAATTTATATTGGTGGGGGAATGTCTATTGTTTTGCTTCCCATATAAAGTACAGTTGGCAATTATTGGGGCCACCCTTTTCCCCAAATATAAGGCCATGTACTTTAATACTGGTCTGGTTGAAGATCAGTATCGCCAGACTATCCCCAGTAACTAATCGGTTGTATGGCAACGATATAATCGACGCCCATTGCTGTTATTCCTTTCCGTTCTCAGCGATCAAATACATGAGAAGTAATCTTGTCGCTCCGTGTCGCTCTTGTCGCTATCGCTCTGTCTTGATGTGAACAGGCGTATTGTTTTCAGTACAAACTATCTGAACGCTAATTCGCTCATTCGCTTCGCTTCGCTATTTCGCTCTCAGTGTGTACGCAGCCTTAATCTGTCTTTAAGCATGGTTTTGCGGCTTTTTTACCCCCCCCCCCCTATAATAAGCCCCCTGTATTTTGAATCGATTAAAGTTGGCAAACTTTAACTCCTTTGTGTTGTCTATTCAAATCATTTGAATCAAATGTCAATAGGGTTCTCTAACGCATTTATATAAGACTTCACAGCAGCCAGCGTCCCACCTGTCGGAGGAAAATCATTGAAAAAAACATTGCTGTTGTACATGTTTCCAACAGGGGAGACGTCATTATAACTTCCGTAGCCTATAAATAGCCTCGTACACAATAAGGGGATGACTTTCAAAACAGAATAAAAATAGGCAGAAACGTTACTCTCGTTGGTTCTTTTGTTGTTTTTAGAGAGTTTAAGCACAGGCGACGATAACGATACCGATAACGATAGAGTCTACTGTCATCGTTTCCGTTATCGTTGTGGTATAAGTACATTAAGCATGGACACACGTAGGGGACTGCAGCTCTACCGCATGACACGCTTCCTTGTTTGGCACGGAAGTCTAGTTTTGAATGCCCCACAAATGTTAAAAATTATTTAGCTAAATAAAATATGACCGTAAAAATGTTAATTAAGTTCTTGCTGTCACACACAGCTTTGATGTTATCAATGACGAAGATCTTCCTCTTCTGTTGGAATTACAAAAAGGCCTAAATTTAATCTGAAAGTTTCATACTCTATATTTGCACTATGAGATAACTGATACCGAAAAAGTTCCGATTTGAGAAAATAGATTTTCAATTTAAATGAATGAATTTATTTCCAACGTAGAGTTATTATATACAAAATACTACACAGTTAACAAGAGGAAAAGCACGAGCGTTTCTCCCCCTTTTCTGCACAGCCTTTTCTTCTTCCAGCCCTCGTCTACCAAAATGTTGCTGCTAGGTCATCTCGCATTAAAGCTCATCTCATCTTGGGCAAATGACAGTCATTTGAAATGTCCACTAAAACCTTGAAAAAATTTGAGAGATGGTGAATACACGTTCCAGCCAAAACACGAACAACCTTTTTCTCAACCTTGGTAGTTTAAGGTCGAAACCCTCAGAAAATAACGACCTTGGTCGCTTGACACAAATTTTAAAGAATTTGTTTAATATTATAGTGATAAAAAAGTTTAAGTTCTCAATCTTTGTTACCGAATTTGCAGAATTTTTATTGAATTTCATCGCTGCAGCCTATGTGAATCTTTACAATATAGGTAGGCCCAATTCCATCATGAAAATAGAATTATGAATCGCTTTAAACAAACAAGAGAAACAAAAAACTCACCCGCATGATTTGAGGCTTGATAATGAAGTGGCCGATGAAGCTATTTCCAGTTGAAAATCCTCATAAAACTCAGCAAAATCCGTCACTGAATCCTATCGTTGTCACAGAACGATACATCAGATTTCTATCGTACTAGAACCATGAGTGAGAACGATAACGGAAGGGGAATCTCCACTGACGCCTGCGCATTAAGGTAATAAAGCCTCCTATCGTTATCGTTATAGTTATCGTCGCCCATGCTTAAACTGCCTTTTGAAGCATGGATTTCATTAGACGAACTTAGCCATGAAAAATTATCATTCATTAATCAGATATAAACGAATTATAATACATAATTGAATTTGTTCACTATCATGGGGCATTTCGTCTCAAATAAAGTTGTCTACTTTCATTCTTTTTTAAAATTTCCCCGACAGCTGCATGCTAAGTTTCGTATAAGTTAACGCATGCGCAAGTTTTTTCAGGCTTCACCTGATAGTCAGGAGTTCCCCTTTTGCCTAATTCCTATTCTGTGCTTTCAGCATCCTTTCAATGTGCTTGAATTTTGAATCGATCGAAGTTAGAATCGATCAAAGTTCACAAACTTAAAAGGACGGAGGTCAACTTTCCCAGAGCAGCGAGCGTCCCACCTGTAGAGTCAAGATAAATATTACCAAAAACTCATTTTCTAGTCAAATTAGTGAAGTCGGAAGGAAAGCTGTGTCAAGATGCATTGCAGAAATGTTGTTGTTTTTTTCTTGGCCATTTGCATTGGGAGATTGACAGGTAACGATTTTTAACAGTAGAAATTGTCAACAACTTTCCTCTCTTCTATTTATCAACAGTCACTCTCTCTTTATTCTAATCTACAACGCACATATCACAACAACCGAAGACACTGTTAGCAAAAACTATATTGGCTTAACAGTAGGAACCTTCAAACAACGATTTACACAACACCAACTCTCATTCTGCAACCGTAAACCGTAAATATTGTTTTTTTTGGTCAAATTGCCACTGAGAAAAAGTTGAATGTTCTACAACTTGCATATCAGGGTACAAGTGCTCAATCTGAAAATAGCTTTTGAGGGTGGTTTTAAAGCTGGGTCTGCCTCTAATTTTATTCAGCAAGGCCAATTGCGCAAGACAACAATGTTTCATGAAAAGTGACCACAATGATCAGTGTTATTACTTTCTGAAATGTTATAGTGTGATACCCAAAACAGGACTGGGTACACTTACCTTTGGGCATTTCTTGCACTGTTACAAGTACCCACTCCAAAAAAGCTTTTCGAGACATTTTCAAAGTCAAATACGCATTTCATTTAAATCAGCATATTTAATTATGTAATTGCATCAAAAACGCAGTTTGAGCACCCTAGTTTGAAAACTAGAGGTCTTAGGGCCGGATTAACCCAAGGGTTGACTAGGCCATGGCCTAGGTCCCGCGGTTTCTAGGGCCCCGCGCCAAACAATATAAAATTTTTGAACAATTATAAAAAATTTGACCCAAAGTAAATTTTCTGATCCATAATCCATAGACAGCCTTACTGGAATAGAACGTAGAAGCAGCACCTTTGACAAAAATTATAAAAGTTTGTGATGTGCAAGAAATGTTTTGGTTGTACAAAACTTAAAAATGGCTATGAATAAAAGCAACAATTTGAGTGTACTGAAGCTTTTAGTCTGATACCCTCCCAGATTGCAAATGCCTATTGAAGATGTTTTAATAGTCCATTATTCCCGGAGGAAGTACTCATTGAACTGATGAAGACTGCGACACGTTCAATCGGATTCAGCTTAAATTCTGTAAGGTTGGTGCCGCTATGGGTAGCCCTATGGGATCTGCCTTGGCTAATATCTTTGTTGGCGCTTGTTTGACTGCGACAAAAGCAAGGAGTTTATTTTCGTTATTTGGATGACACATGCGATTTTCAGATCAGAGGCTGAATGTGATGATTTTCTAAAACGCTTTGATTGCCTTAATTGATAATTGATATATTCTGTTAGTAAAGGCTTTAAGTGCAATCTGAATACAGAATCAAAATTGAGTTATTGTTATTGGAAATTCATGCCTTGCACCTCCCGCACCCCTTGTTCCCCTCCCAGCTCCCAAAAATCCTTAAATTTGTGTCCCTGCAGCCAGTATAAATAAATTATGGTCAAATTATGAAGGAATTCAAGTTTTATGGGCAACAAACCTTGTTGTCGTCATAAATTAAGTGCATTAATTTTATTTATATACGCAACTTGCTAACTTAGGTTTGAATATTTGCTGGACATGAACCATTTAAAAAGACTGGCATCTTTTCTTCTAGAATGCAGAAGTGGCTGGAAGACATCAAAGAATGGCTATTTCATCTACAAGGCAACCAGGGATGCTAGCCTGTCTGAGACATTAAAGGTCAACGGCACATTTTCTGTCAAGCAATACAGCCGAAACCACAATGCTTTCCTTACAGTAGAAGATTCGAGTGGAAATTTTGTCGTTCAAGTCTCTTTTGATAATGGTAATTATGGCTATTTCATCTACAAGGCAACGCTATTTAATCTGATCATTCATTCTCTCGAACGGTGCAGTTTGTCAACAGGTCAAGAAAGACAGTTTTGGACCCCTGATCAAATCTCCCGTATCTAGAAAATTTTAGACTCTTAAATCCTGCATGGTGCACGATTTGCAGCTCATATAAATGAAAAATTAGATCGAACAACACTTCTCATCCTCATTTGTTAAAGGCATTGCTTGACATAGCAAGTTGAAAATCATGTCATTGGCTGCCTAAAAGAAACAACAATAGCAAGAAATCTGTTGCGCTTCTTCTAGATAAAAACGAACTGTCTATTTACTGTCTATAAAAACTGTCTATAAAAAATAAACCACAAAACAGAACCCTTTTATTGAGGGAAACCCTTTTTATTGCTACTGAGAGTCCCTTCTTGAAAATATCCATAATTTTTGCACTTTCACGTACTTCAAACTCTTTGCTAAGACCTTAGGGGCTTTAAAGAACGGAAGTTTATAACAAAGTAAAAATTATATTAAAAATCGGGCAGAGAAGTATTCTCTCTGAAGTTGGGATACTCAGTGTCCACTTTACAGAATTTCAAATTTTCCCATCGTACTGTTTTATTTCTTATATGCAAGAAAGTATTTTAAGTTAAGCTTTTGCAATAAGTAACATGGACATTGCAGTACCATTTAAGCTAAGCTGCCGATGCTTGTGCTCATGTTTGTACGAAAACCATGAGAAGAAAAGCACTATTATTTTCTTTTTGAGGAATTATAATGGCTCGATGTGATTTTTAAGATGCTTCTTTGCGTTAAAAATCAGTCTGATGTAATAGGAAATTTTCAGACTAAACAGTTTATACGAATTCAGACAAGTTGTTTTAATGTCATGTATTGATTAGCTAACGATCATATTTCCTCGAATGAGTTCCCGATGAAAGTGACGATTCATCTCATATTGTGACAGAGGCTGCCTTTGAAGAACATCCGAGGGAGATGACAGCAAACGACTTTTATCCCCTTAAACCCACCACTGAGACGATTAATAAATACAAAATCTTTTTTAATGCATATATCTTCATGATATTCTTCGTTATTTCAAAAATAATCAAATTCTAGGATGGTCGATGATTGCAAGAAAACCCAGTTGGTATTCTAGTCCTCTCAATTCATGGAAGGCGATGCCAACAACAAACTTTGGGTTTCCATTTTTCTTCGAAATAATTTGCACTCAAAAGAACCAATCTTCAAGATATTTGAAAAAGGTAGATGTACGTGTTTCGCACGGCGAACAAATGACGCACACATTGGAATCATACGAAGATTCAACATGGAATTTAGAAAATGCGACAATTTACCTTGGTGGATACAATAGAGAATATTTGCGAACTGGTGATTTCTTCGAAGGCTGCATTTCTGGTGTGATGTTTCAAGGCATTGACATTATCGGCAAATATTTCCAGCAATATCCAAGCAACAAAAATCCAGTGAGAGGCAGTCGGGTCGTTGGTGCATTCAGTAATGTGTCTCAAATTTGCGACGACAAGAGCGCAAGTTCACTAGGTAGGCCATTTCATGAAATATGTAATACTTATTGACTGAACTTAAGAAACAGAGCAAAATCTTTAAATAGAATTGAAGGAACCCTAGAAAAAGCCGAGGATAGAGTTTTACAATTGTGACTTATTTTTATGTTTAGCCAATCAATAAGTGTGTGAGTGTTATCATACTCACTGATTTGCCAATAGTTGATGTAGCGTCCTACATTAAACATTTGTGTTAAGAATAACTTAGACTGCCTATAACGTACTTCTGTTATATTGCACACTGCTCATAGCTTGGTTTTTTACAAATTATTTTTACCCAGAACGCAGTGTACTTTGGATAAAACACACTTAATCTGATTGTACTGTAATTCTTTAATAAGCATAAATCAGATCAGATAAATAAAAGAAAGAGGATATTACACAAATCAGTTCTGTGCATATGTATATTAATAATTGTGAAGATCGTAATATATATACAGATTCTCAAAATAATTCATCATTCTTCTGTAGCAAAGATCCCATGCTGGAAAACTGACGGCAAATGTTTTCTCTCCTACAAAATGACGCCTGCGAATTCAATTGGTGTTATTTTAAATATCACAATGAAATACTCGACGACAATATTCAGCCAGAAGAATAACATGCTATTTGTTATTGCAAATGAACATTTCAAATTGGGACTATCGGTTGAAAAAGGTAAAGTGCTATTTATTGGGTCGTTTGGAAATGTAATTTTTTTAAATTGGAAAAAAATCATTGAAAATGGTTCTCATTTGCCAATGTGGATACTATTCGCGGCATTGAAATCGAATTGAGTTAGTTATGAATAGGCTTCAGTATACAAAATGCAGTGTGAATTTAAGTAAATGTTTCGTCATTTTGCTACCTTGTCCAGCTTTGTTAAGTTTTCTTTGATCTCGCTCTAAAATGTACCGTGTGCAGTATTTAATTCGGTTTTGTTCTTAACCGAAGTTGAAGCTTCTATAGGCTGAGTCTCACAAGATCAAGCAAAGTTTTTAACTTCACTTTTCTGCACTTTTGATTTTCTTATTAGGATGTTCTTGCCCTGTACACTATAATTACAGAACAATTGCCTCTGTATTATATACGTAAACACGTGGACAGGCAGCATGTGAAATTGTGAAATGATGTTGGATTATATAAACCTGTCTTAAATCATTCAGACTTGTAGGCTTGAGCTCCCTTGACTTATTTTTAGGGGAGGGAGGGTTGAAAATATTTTACGGCTAGATATCACAGCAAATTTTCGTTATTCGATAAGTGAAAAATCAAAAGTGCTCTTTAAACAAAAGTATCTTCTACTGCTTTACGTGTACATTGTTACCTTTTTAAAAAATTTTCAAGATTTCATTTAAAGTTTCAGCCATCTATGCAGTTTGATTTTAGTTATTTTGTAAGACTTCTTCCTATTCAATATTTTATTATGCCATTAGCCTTCAAATAGCACCAATGAAAGCAGAAACGGTTTTGCTTACGATCTTTGAAGTGCCTTTTGTAGATACAACTATCCAGCCTCTCACATTTTCTATTACCATAATTTCATGTGAATGAGAATAATGCATTATATTTTTTATATATTTAGATGATCTCCAATCAACATATGCCGGCAAAACTTCATTTTCATCATCAAAATCTGAAATTCTTGGCTTAAACTCAGGAGCAGTTATCACTCAAGAGATTTTAATCATGCGAGATTCAAAGTTTGAATGGCCGTATCTCTATTACGCTCAGACCCCCACGTATTACAATAGAAACAGATTACTAGGCGTTCCGAATTTTGCCAATCTAACAGTTCATGTTGGCGGGATCAATAATATGGTTCATGATTTCTTCGACAATTGCATCCACAGCGCTTTCATCAATGGTTTTGATGTTGTTGGTGCCTACCTGAGGGGAGGAAGTCAAAAAAATTTCACCAAAGAATGCTTGTTGGATACTACAGCAACTCCTACAAAGTCATCTCCTTCAAAGTCAAATTCTACAACATTATCTCCTTCAAAGGCTACTTATTTTAGATCAACTCCTTCAAAGTCAACTTCTACAACATTATCTCCTTCAAAGGCTACTTATTTTAGATCAACTCCTTCAAAGTCAACTTCTACAACATTATCTCCTTCAAAGGCTACTTATTTTAGATCAACTCCTTCAAAGTCAACTTCTACAACATTATCTCCTTCAAAGGCTACTTATTTTAGATCAACTCCTTCAAAGTCAACTTCTACAACATTATCTCCTTCAAAGGCTACTTATTTTAGATCAACTCCTTCAAAGTCAACTTCTACAACATTATCTCCTTCAAAGGCTACTTATTTTAGATCAACTCCTTCAAAGTCAACTTCTACAACATTATCTCCTTCAAAGGCTACTTATTTTAGATCAACTCCTTCAAAGTCAACTTCTACAACATTATCTCCTTCAAAGGCTACTTATTTTAGATCAACTCCTTCAAAGTCAACTTCTACAACATTATCTCCTTCAAAGGCTACTT